GACAAGCCCTGCAAAGGTCCTAGAAGCATTGTCTGAGTGATCAGTCAGGTCGGTGCGTCGTTTCCTCCTGTACCTTTCGCATCGTATTCGCCCTTGCGTAAAAATTCAGCACATTTATTTCTCTGTCTCGTCGTGAGCTGTTATCGGAACACCTTCCGATTAACAAGATTTTAGGGAGAAACGACGGTTGTCGGCGCGTCCATGTCGAAAGTTAGGCTATAAAGCAAGTGATTCCAACTTGCGCCTCTTCAAATCCGAGAATGATGTTGGCCAACTGAGCTACGGCATTATTGGTTGAGGCGGTGATGATGACCCTTATCCAGCGAGCGCTTGACGTATGGCCACGCAGGCACCAACGACCGTCCTGTCGAATGCGGCCTGAATTGCTATATTAGTGGATATCTGCTGTTCCCTAGTGCCAGGGCCTCCCGCTGATTGGGCGTTCTCCAATCGGCGGCCGTGCAGTGTTATCGAGTTGATAAGTGGTTCGTCTTCATCTCCTTCAGCTTCTTCGGCCGTCTTACATCCTAGTTCCTGCGCTCCGTATGCAATGTCAACTACGGTGATGTCGGCTCCGCCTTCGTTTACAATCTTGTATATCTGCATTCTCGAAAGTGATTCGAATGCCGCGTTGGCGTTCGCCGGAGTTCGGCGTAGTTTAACGAGAAGATCCAAGAATGCGGTGTTCCCTGCTTTACATGCGACGGTCCTGATGGCGTTTCTCAACACATGCTCCACCTGCGTGTATGTGGTGAGGGTCACTCCTAGCTCCCTAGTTTCTTCTTGGAACTCTGCTCTATCTCAAGTTTGGAAACCACCAGACATCCATAATCCAAACTCCCACGGGGCGATGCCTCGTCTATCCCTCCGTTGATGACATATCTCCAGTGTGAGCTGCAGTTGGAGGGGATGTGATGATGCCGATGGACCGTGGCGGTGACTCTGTGTGTTCTATTGTCGCCGTCCAGGTTTTGAAGTGCCACTAGCGCAGCGCACGCCATACTGAAGACTTTGCTTTCTTGGGAAGTGCTGAATGCTTATTGACAAAGTTTTGAATTCAACAACGGTTGAAGAACCAGCCGATGTCTTCTTGACGTGCTCCTAACCTTCATGGAAACAATGCCTTCATCGGAGTGGGTTGAGCAGAAGTGTTCGACTTGACGATGAGACCATTCTCGTGCGATCAAAGATGCGGGTGATTCTGAGAATTGAACTGCGCGTGACACGTTTTTCCGGCTCTGTGCTATTAGGATTTCATCCTCTTGAACGTGTGGCCACTCGATGCTACCAGTAAGATCTGGGCCCAATGAATATCATGCTTACTAGTTTGCAGCACAAAATCGTAGTAATATGATTTATCAGGCAAATCACATAGAGATGCAGAATAAACAGCAGAGGTTGATGCATGGAGACTTGGGGTGAGCGTACCGTTCCGCAGCTTAGATTCGGGACTTTTCTCTTCCTCCTCTTCGCGCCATCCTCTTGTACGCTGCTCGGCGCGCTATCAGCGACATCTCCGCTTCGTCACCCGCTGCTTTCTATGAACATCTAAGTAGAGGAACTCTTACACGTATTATTTGAGACTTGGTTTTTTGTATGGAATATAGCTAACTAAACATCTTTTTATTTTTTCTTGATCTTTTCTAAAATTAGAAGTTACACGAAGTCTCCTCTGACCCTTCCATAGTTTCTCTCCTCTCCCCGCTACTCCTTGCTTTGTCGCACAGTTGCTCAACTCTGAAATAAGTAAAAAAAAAAACAAAAAAAACTTCTACCTTACCATTTGTAGCACAGATCATCAAAAATCTTCGATACCCGCTGCCATGCGACGAACCTATTTTGGTGAGCGAATCTCGACATCCCCACTGACTTGTATTCTTGGAAATGGACAATAACTTTGCGTAGATCCTACATACATGGTTTTAACAAGAGATTCTCATGTATCCACTGTTGGCGTTTTAATGGCGCCTAGCTTTCGTTCGAAGACTTACATTTTCTCTACTCAATAAAGCTCAACGTTTATATGTTGTGTATTGTTGTCAGTGTATAATAACAGCCATCTTTCCGCCTAAGACTACATACCAGAGCCTATTAATCAGCAAACTTCTACACTAAATCTGGTTGTCTACTCATCCATTAACTTCTAATGTAACCAGCTTGCACTGATTCTTTATCTTCTTTCTCCAAAATCATCTGCATCATGAATTGCATTTTTAGCAGCAGCTTTTTAGCAATGGAAAATGCTAGCACATGGAAGAAATGCGGTCAAACGAAATTCTTTGAGTTTTTTGTTAGTTATTATTCATAGATTAGTTGCGCCGCAATTAATCGGTGAAAGAATCCCTACATGTTCGTTGAGAAAATGCAGAAAATGCCCAACATTCTTTCAAATATCTGCAAGCGGACCGCAAGAAATCAGCCGGCTATTCGGTGCCGCCTGCCTATAAATCGCATGACCGCCTAGCCCAGCGATTCTCTGAGTTGGTCTGAACGGGCATTGAAAGAGCATAATTTTCCCAGGGTGGGGTGTTTGGCTCCAAATGTTCATTTCACTGTCGCAAGAAGAGGGTATGAGCATACTCATACCAGTGGAGAACAATTTTTCGATATGGGAAATAAAGGGTCGTGCGCAAGGCTACAAAAGCTCAGGCGGCCTGACCTTTTGAGGAGCTGCGCCCGCCCCCATTAACTTTATCTCTGAAAAAGCTTTTTCACCCAAGTTTTATGTGATTCACTAGCACAGTTCCACAGTGAGTGGTTGAGCTCACTACGACTTGTTTCGGCTTTGTGGTGATCCGTGGAGTTGAAGCAGTCAGGGTCAAAAATGCGGTGTTTGAAATTGCAGCGCTTCTTTATCCACTGTTTGAAGGCGGTGTGAAGTCACTTTCTAACATGGACTAATGGAGAGTATTACACTGTTATGAATATGAAAAAGCTGGCTTTTTCCACTTTCAAATCTAAGTTAGTCATGTTTGAAAATCTTTTCAAACGTTAAGAAACACTGGAGATGCAATGAGTATTAGTTTGAAGAGTTCTAGAAGTAGTAGGGCATGCTGATTAAGGAGACCCATTACAAAGCCAGCTCTTTGGTGACGTTGCGGTATATGCAAAAAAGATGAAGATTGGAATTTAAGTGAGACTTCGATGGTGGATGTAGTTAATATGCTGTTCACAACACTCATTCCTTCAGTTCTGGTGGAGTTTTGATACTCACCGACCTAGCGTTTTTTTTGCTTCACCTTAGTCAATCGTAGCCTTTCTTGATTTTTTGAACGAATTCGATTCTTAATCACGACCCCCTTTTCACTCCCAATAGGGGGTCGGGCAGCCTGACCCCACGCCTGATCACGCTCGATGCTGGTCGAGCGTGAGACTAGGCGTGGTCTCACGGGTGTTGGGTGGGTGATCCTGGGTGTTAACCAGTAGCGAAGTGGATCAAGCAGATCAAGCGGATCAAACATGGCATGTGCCTTAGCAACAACCCCCAAAAAGTAGGAGGGTAGCTCAATCTTGCTCCAAGCGCGTTGTAGTGCGTGCTAAGGCTGGCGTCA